CCTGGCACGGGCGCCGACCTGGCGGCCTGGCCCATGCGCGAACTTACGAACTGAAAAGGCACCAGCCTCAGAAACAAGTAAGCAAACTCTAGCTCTCAGATTGTGATTTCTAGCTCGCAATCTACTATGAGAGTACTAACTTAGCCATCGGAGTGACCTCACCGGGTTAGCCACCCCGGGTCCTCTGACATTTAGTTCCTTGCAAGTCTCTAAAGAGTAACAAAGCTCATCAATCCAACTCGGCACCTGGTCAACCCAGCGCCTCACAGGTAGCTCGGTACCCAGGCAGCTCGGCACCTCACAGGCAGAGACCTCGACGCTACAGCAAGACCCAATCGCTTCTTTGGCATGGGCAAAGTTCAAGAGTGGACTACGAGTCGCTCCCCAAAGCCTAAGGGCCACAATACTGCTAAAAGACCCATTCGCCTCTTCGGCATGGGCAAAGTTCATGAGTGGACTATGAGTCGCTCCCAAAGCCTAAGGGCCACAATACTGCTGAAAGACCCATTCGCCTCTCCGGCATGGGCAAAGTCCAGGAGTGGACCATGAGTCGCTCCCAAAGCCTAAGGGCCAATACTGCTGAAAGACCCAGTCGCCTCTACGGCATGGGCAATACTACTGCTGAAAGACTCAGTCGCCTCTTCGGCATGGGAAAAGTTCAGGAGTGGACCATGAGTCGCTCCCAAAGCCTAAGGGCCACAATACTGCACAAGAGCCAGCCGCCTTTAGGCATGGACAAAGTCAACAAGAGTGGACTATAAGTCACTCCCAGACCCTAAGGGCTAAAGTACCGAACTGGCAGAGACCTCAGCACCTTACGGGCAACTCGCTTCCAAGCAGCTCCCAGAGCCTAAGAAACTGAATCAACGCTTACGAGCTCGTCGACTTACGAGCCAAAAGGAGAAATCTACTCCCTTCGCCAAATTACTTTCAGCTCGGGAGTGGGGGGGAAATGATGAGGGCGGATTTGGCCCTCCAATGACATTATGACACTTGGCAGCCTCTTGACAACTAGGCAGCTCGTTACAGGCAGCTCGCCACAGGCAGCTCACCCTCATGTAGCCTGGCACCTCAGAACAACTAGGTGACACCCGGACAACAACATGCCTTTGCTAAGTTGATGGTGTCCCACCAGGCGTAGCCTGGCACAGGTGCAACCTGGCCCTGGCCCGAGTTGGCAGCCTGGCCCTGGCGCGACCTGGCCCTGGCACGAGCTGGCAGCCTGACACAAGCACCAACCTAACAACCTCAAGGTAGCTCATCACCAAGCAGCTCATCCAGAAAGCTAAGTAGCCCACCAGATAGCTCACCTCAAGGCAGCCCATCAAGGTAACTCACCTCCAGGCAGCCCACCAGGTAGCTCACCACCAGGCAGCTCATCAAGGTAGCTCACGACCAGGCAGCCCATCAAGGTAGTTCACCACCAGGCAGCTCATCAAGGTAGTTCACCACCAGGCAGTTCGCCACCAGGTAGCTCACCACCAGGCAGTTCGCCACCAAGTAGCTCACCACCAGGCAGCTCGGCATCAGGCAACTCGCCACCAGGTAGCTCGCCACCAGGCAGCTCGCCACTAGGCAGCTCGCCACCAGGGAGCTCCACTTCAGCCTCTGAGTCACCGACCACATGGGAGCAGACGAGATGACGAGGTACTTAGCCAAACAATTGATACGTAGCCAGAAACGGTTACATCACTTTCCACCACATATTTCCTTCCAGACTTTGTGTTATTTTCCTTCCAGCATGTATGCTTTCCTTTTGTTGCTACTTCTTGCAAAAACTCCTTCAGCCATTCAACTATCTCCAAGCCTTCCACCAGAACTTAAACTTTCTTCAGCTCCCTTATCTTCAAGCTATGACACCCTTTGATTCTTATTTCTTCAAACATAAAGTCTTTAGCCTCCCTTTCAGGGCTTTCCTCCACCTTGTTGCCTCCACAAAGCCCTATGAGCTTCCTATTGGCAAAGGAATAGAAGAAAAAACCCTTTCCTCACTCTACAATAGAGATGAAGATGTTGTTTGATTGAATACCTTTTTACCTAGTGGATCCTTGAGTGAGAATAGAACTATGAAATGGCTGGCTAGAACATAGTTACTTGATTTGGTGGTTCATCTAATTCGAACATGGGTTTGCAGTTTGCAAAAACCTAGCCTTCTTTCCTCCCTTGTCTCCCTCAAACCTAGCAGCCTCCTAGTCAAATAAAACCAGCCACCCCACTTGAGACGGATCAGCATGGATCTCAACCACAAAAGAACCGAAAGAAATAAACTTACCTTTTAGCCGATTAAGCTTTGTCTGCTCCCTCTCCGATCTTCAAACACTCTTCTCCCCTAGATTGAACTTAGCTTCACCACACACAAGATGGCAATGCCCCTCATCAACTCGACTGTCCTCATTCTTTAGGCTCACAGTTTTTATTTTAGAACTATCAAATTTAATGACGACCCAAACCCAATCCTCCACCTTGCTAGTTCAAAGCCTATGAAAATCTCTCTTTCTCCTTCTCCTTAACCTTGGCACCTATTTCTCTATGTGCCTTTAATTTGTTGCATTGCGCCTAAGACCATTGCTAACACTCTTAAACCTCAATCTTGGAAAGTGGTTCCTACTTCCAATACTCGAGATCTCATTTGAAATTTCGAACACTATGGCCCTTCAAAAACCTCAATCTAAGAAAGTGGTCCCCACTTCCAGTACCCAAGATTTCATTCAAGCATTGTGACCCTTCAAAAGCCTCACTTAAACTCCCACCCTCTAAGTTGTGCCTTCCTATATACTCCTTACCAACTCCATCCACATGCCTCTCATTTAAAGCCTCGATCCCACCTGAAATTACAACTTTGCCCATTGAGTCCCCCCACCCATCGTCCCCCTCTTCAACAAAGCAACCATCCTGAAACTCCAATCCTATCTCAGTCTTCTCATCCTTCCTTCCTTCTCTCCTATTGGTCCTTGCTCTAAAAACAGTGTTGTCCTCTCCCTCAACAAAAATCCTTAGGTCATATTTCTCAGCTGCAAAAGCCAGACCTAAAGAACTTGTAATGGCAGAGACCTCATCAACCTCCACCAGAATTCTCACGTCAATTTTCTCCCATCTCCTAGTCCTTTCATCAATTTTCAAGAATTTACCACAGGCATCCCCAATCACTCTGAAAGATTAAACACTCCATGCATGCAGGGGGATACCCAGAACTCCAATCCACATCCACCTTCTATTATCTTCTTGTACAAGTCTTACCGCTGGAAACCACCAGCCTAAACATAAATCACAGCCCCTACTCATCTTGCATTCGGACTCCAGAGCCCACTCTGCCTCCTTTCTACCATGAAACATAAACAAAAACAGTCCCCCCGTTCAGCCTTCCGACACCCAAAACTCTTTCCTTACCCCATTCAAATGAGGCCCAGGAAACCACTTCCTTCTCCAAATCCACTCCGACAAACCTTCCAACCAAACTTGCATTTAGAGTTTTCATCCTCTCGTCAAGCCTTCATATTGATTGAAACCAATTTAAATCTCCCTGCAATGAAAACCTGACATGCTCATATTAAAATCTGAATGAACAATCATGGATTGCAAACAGTCATAGTGCTTCTTTGATACAGAATGAACTCGAAGAAGATCTATGTATCCTCTTACACCTTTATTTTGTTACATGCGCACCAGTTGCTTTAAGCATTTGTGTTGGCACATGGTTGGGTGATGACATACTACATAGAAATAAGGAATTAGGTAAAAGAAAATCAGTGGAGTTCTTTTGGGTATTCTTTCAATTTGCAGGTATGGAACTGCCAAAACAAAGGACCACATCAGACAGTCAACATTGCAGTAGTACTTTAAAAAACAAAGATTATCAGATCCCTATCTCTGTCCATCCAGCCATCCTTTTTATGTTGATGCCTAAAGCATATACAAACAATCAAACACATGAATGGACATGTAGCAAATAGTAGAAAACAAGAAATTGATAAAATCATATTTCCTTGTTATACATCGTGACATATCACAAGAATTTGGAATATATCAATTAATGCCTTGTATTATAATGTTGCCAACTCAAAACCAGTTCAAACTCAAATTACCTTCTCACACCAAAATAACTGATTTCTAGGCATACCAATTTACACACCATGAAAATTCACAAACCCTCAAGTTAATGTTGTAAGTAGCAACACAAATGGTCCTAAATAAGAGAAAAATCTGAAAATTATCAGCTTAAATAAATCTAGCCAATAAATTATGCTTCGTGTGTCAGTCAGCAATTCCAAAAAATGAAATTCTGTAAATTTTTACCTAGTACTAGCAACCACTGTACTGAATAAATACATATAAAGTGCTAGGATCCATTTCAACAATAAATACCTCCCAATAGGGTGGGTAGTCCCTTTCTCCATGGCAGCAGCTACAGCAAGAGCTTCTTTTTCACAATTAGGGATACAACAAGAAGCAACTTCTGATTTATCCCTTCCTACTGAATGTCCATGTATTGGCTCAATTGCTTTGCACATAAGCTCCCCAGTTGTCAATGTCCCAGTTTTATCAAATGCAACAGTGTGACAAGATGCCAGAGCATCTAATACTTGCCCACCCTTAAGCAATATTCCCTGCAAAAACAGAAGGCTTTAGTTTGTTAAAGATTGTGAGAGGTCTAACAGACTCAAGGTGAAATCCAATTTAGCTTAAGTTTGGGAAGGTATGAAGTCCAAGAAACTAAGCAAGCCATCATGTCATCCCTCCCATAATTGCATATATTTCTTGCTCAGAATATCTTTATGCTCTAATGAAAAGGATATAACAATCCTTTGGTGGAATACACATAAAATCTACTCATACGGATATAGTACTATATCTTTTGTATATGGGACTACACTTTTTGTGGCATATGTCCTATTATCCTTATCATATATACATAAATAAATATGTATATAGCATAAAGCTATCAGCATACAAAAATAAATTGTGGCCACAGAATTAATGTCCAGACTAAAGCTTTTACATTTTGATCCAAACAGTTTGCTATATGGAGATAAAGCATATTCTCCTTTAAACCAGTGTCGTTGAGAGATTCCTGGAACTGAACTCAAATAAAGAACCCCGCAAAAGAGTACATAGTTCATGGTTTATCCCCTACCATTTATGTGCATCAGCATCCTCTAGGAAACTGATAACACTATGCTACATTTTTTTTTCTGGATAGACAACAGGAATCTAATAAGAAGGAAAAGGAATCTTGAAATTAACTGTAGAATTTGGATGGAACCGAATTCTTTATATCAGCAAAGAAAAAATTATTAATTATATGAAAGTTTAGTACAACATATTGGAAAATTACAACAAACCAAAATACAATAAAGTTCACACCAAAGCCCAAAACAACTGTTGCCTATTAACCCCTTGTTTTGCTAGTGAATCCGCCGATCCATTTACAGTTCTTCTAACCCAATTGTAGGTGGTATTCAACTCCCTTGATAGACATTCTCTATCCCTGAATGTGTACCTGTAGATCCAAGGGACTTCGCAGTTGCATTTTGCCCAAGAGATGATCCATTTTGAGTCCCCCTCTACTTCCAATTAGTGGAATCCAAATTGTTTTGCTAATCATAACCCTTGTAGCAAGGCCACCAATTCATCTTTCAAAGTTTCAATGAGTCTCCCACTCCAATAGATCCCGAGTACATAGCCACCACCCTTCCCAAGGAATCCCTGAACACACCCCCATACCTGCCAGCCCTGGATTGCCCATAGAACTCCCATCAAAGCTCAGCTTTAATTTATTGCTTGTTGGAGACGTGTTCATGGGCCGGGCTCAGGCTTGGCTTTTGCCAAAATTTGAATGGGCCTGGCCCGAAGCCCGAGCCCGACACAGTGTAAGTCAGGTCTGAAGCCCGGCCCGTGAACAGGTCTTCCATTCCACAACCACCCTATCGTTTTCCTTAGAACATTCTGCCACTTCCGTCCCTGTTCTTATTATATCATTCACCAAGAAAGTTCGAAAATTTTCCATTCGTCTTTACCCAATGTGCAATTTTGATCTTTATGATGTCTGTTGACAGATGTTGTTGTACACAGGTTTAGTACCGCAAGGGTACTGTTGTAATTTTCTCCTTCTTTATGTTGTACGACTAGACTAGTATAAATAATAACTTATGCACTCGCCTACAGTGTTCTGTAGGGGCTTTCAGTCCTCTCGACTCTCATCTCCTCTCTCCCTCTCTTCTCTCCTCTCTTCTCTTCTCTTCTCTTCTCTTGCTCTTGCTCAACATGGTATCAGAGCAAGTCGTCCAGGCCTGAAGGGTGGTGTCAAGCAAACCTGTTGTTC